CAGATTAATTAATCCTATACGTATTACCTGAAATATATAATTTAGGATAGTGATAAAGGGACCAACAGTTGAACTCCATCAGCTTTACCTGATGGTAGGTATTTGGGTAAGACTTCTGGTAAAGTTGCACTTTCGAAAGAATGAAGACATGCTGCTGGAGCAAAAAAAAAAAAAGATTCAAATAGATTTATGTTGAATAACTACTTTTTAGTACCTGGTAAGAAGGAAAAAGCATATATAAGGAAGAAATGTGTATGGTGTTCTGGTTACCATATTGGTACCATTCTGGTTCTAATATTTTCAGATAACTCTTAATAAGAACTTACTTAGGAATGAGATCTAATCTTTGCGTCTATGCAAAGAGCTGTTTGAAAAATGTAGAGGAGTGTTGATAAGTACAGCAAGACATTTCTATTTTACTTGGACAGACTGAGACAGTTGTGGGTCATGTTCTTGAAAAAACAAACAATAATAATAAAACAAACAAAAATTAAAAAAATAATAAAAAAACAACAACCACCTTTTGACAAGAACAAGAACTGTTATTTATAACATGGACTTGATATTGAGGGTCTGTAACTTGTAATATCAACGGGGTAAGTGGGGTAAGAACACAGCTGTCCCTGTAGTGAACGTTCCAAGTATGGTAGAAGAATTTTTGGAAGAGTTAAACATGAGATTCTTAAATACTTAGAATTCATTATTTGTAAATAATTGTAAAGAATATTGAAATAAATTTGGCTCTAAATCTCTGAATTTGTCCCTTATAAGTGCATCGTTCATTTGCTTATTATAGCCTCCATTTCTGATGCCTGAGTATTTTGAAATGTCGGCTCAACATACCTTAAATTGCAACATATGCACTACATTGTTCACACTACGTTTTCTCATGAGTAAGCAAGCAAAGAACGGAGAAAAAGTTGGTTAGTGGGGATTATATTTTCCAAGTGATAAATAATTCTGCATTTCTTGTTTTCTAGTAAATATTGAGTTTTAGGATCTATTCATCTTGTCAGCCTATATGTAAAGGATGTTTTTACATCTTGCTGCCACCTGGATTTTTTGTAGGTTCTGCATGTCAATTTACTATGGACATCTCAAAATTCTTCTGTGTCTCAAATGGCACTGAATATCTGCATGTGAGCAGTTGAATTAAACCATAGGTATCTTGTTTTGGATGAGGCTACACTGGCTTTACTGTGTATATCTCAATTGTCTGAGACACTTGCACCTTCATCCTGAATATGGTTGTCTCTGAAGTTTCATATCTATCTAATGTGTCAAAGCTGCATTTAGATACCAACAAACAGATTTGTCTATTTCAAACTGAACCCCTCATGGTTTTCTTCTTATAACTACATTTTTAGCAAAACATTTGAAATAAAGTCACTCAATTTCTTTTTGTTTGTTTGTTTGTTTGTTTTGTTTGCTAGAAGACAACTACTGTAATGACATTACAAGCCAACACCAGATTCTCTAGAAATATTTTTAATTAAGTTGAATTGAGTTTGTCCTAAGAATGAAGAAGTTTTAGGAAAAATAATGGATAATGGACCATATCCTAGATATTTTCTATTGCCAGGATTTTAACACCAAAAATAATTCTTTATTTTTTTCTTATTTATACAAAAGTGACATTTAGCAGATGTTACAAAAAAGTTCTGATCATCTGAATTACTTATCGAATACATTTTTGCACATTTCTTTTTCTGAGAAAATTTAAGTGAAATAATTCTAAATGTAACGTTAATATTTTACCACAGACAGAATCCATCTTTTATACACAAAAATCTGTAGTAAGGAAGACAGTTTATATTGATATTCCAGCACCATTAGTTTATCATTGTGACTTTTTAGAGCTACAGAGGATTTCATTATATTATTAGCAGAATTTCCATTTATTATTGCAGCTAGTTTTGATAAAGACAAAAAATTGCTATGGACTATACTATTGATTGTTGAATTATGAAGCAAGGATATAAAAAATGAGTTAAGTTATTCAATTAATTCATTCCCCATTTCTGCAATCCTATTTCTTGTTAGGTTAAAGGGTATTCTAAAAATGAATTGATAAAGCCAGTATATGTATTTTTCTCATAGAGTTTTTCTGCTATGTCATATTATATGTGAATAAAACTCATTATCTGTTTTGTTTGCATGATAATTATATTTTTCTGTCCTGTGCATTCTTTTTGGTCTCTCCATCTCATAATACATGCTGTAAAAGTGCACATAAATAAATAGGATAAACAAATTAAGCTGTTTAAATAAATTAATTTACTCTGCAACTCTGTATTCAAATCTTACATGCTCACTGGATTTCATTTTAATGAAACCCTTCTAAGAACAATATATTGCATGCCAAACAGTGAAATTATATATTAAATGAATGATTAGATATACTGTGTTTCAATTTATACCAAATCTGTACACTGTGCATGCTTAAATCCGCTTAAATCTAAAGAAATAAATCTTCTACATTTGGAAAACATCTTAACTATAATCCTCCTCTTGAATTCCCAGTTCATGGACATATAAATACAATCAAAGTCATAATAAGCCTAGAGCTATGATGCAGTTAAACTATCCTCATCAATGTTTTTGACTTAAAAATCCTAGTCTATTAAAGTGGAATCCACTTGAATGTCTTGATACATTGTTCTGAAAGGTCTTCTTCCACTTCATCAATAAGCCCATTGAATCCCTTTGTAATCACAATCTCAAGTTTAGCAAATATTTATTATAAAGCTTACCTGGATCTATTGATTACTATTGATAGTTTTGTTGCTGTTTCATAGCATTCAACAATGCATTAAACGAAATAAATATTCATCTACCTATTGTGCATGAAGAGCAATGACTGCTGCTAAAGTGTTTTCTCTTCAGAAAAATAAACAAACATCTTTAAGACATTTGCATCAGGAAGCTTTCATATATGTTATTAAACATATTGTGTATTATTTCATTATTGAAAGCTTTTAAGGAGTTGAGTGTATACAGCCACTTTGTTAGTTTCATTAGAAACCAGAATTTCAATTGGAAGGAAGGAAGGAAGGAAGGAAGGAAGGAAGGAAGGAAGGAAGGAAGGAAGGAAGGAAGGAAGGAAGGAAGGAAGGAAGGAAGGAAGGAAGGAAGTTTAACATATTCAGGCCCCTGACTAGATTTCCATTATAAGAATTATTTATTCTTATCAGTATTTAACCAAAACAACCTAATTCACACCTATTTTAGCAATGACAGAGTCTTGGGAGCTATTAGCACTAAACAGGAAACTGCAGAGGAAGACAGATAATTTTCTGTGAAGGACTATTCTGAACTCATCTCTCTTTGTTCACTGTATCTGTCAAAGTTTTTTGTAAATATTGGATGTTTCTCCCTGCTACAGTTCTCATACAGCATATCAAACAATCGCAGTCCTCATGTTCTAACTTTCAGAATCAAGGGACATCTTGAGGCACATTTTAGCTCTTCCCAGCTATGCTTTCGTCTTGATAGAGAAATGTGGGTGGGCATTTTTCCCCCTCTTTGAAGTAGTTACAAAGCCAAAAATGAAAAACAATGTAACAATAAGTGTGGTTCATTCCAGGTTTGTGCTTTATAGTTTTAGCAGACATTTGGACTTTAAGTTTAACAAGACAATATGACGAGCAAGTGCAAGTGCCAGATTCTGCACCTGGGAAAGGGCAGTCCTGGATATATGTACAGGGGGTGAGAGGGAAGATAGCAGCCCCATGGAGAGGGATCTGTGGGTTTTGGTTGATGGGAATTTGATTATGGGTCAACAGTGTGCCCTGGAAGCCAAAAGAGCCAACCATATCTTGGGGTGCATCAGGCACACCATTCCAAGGTCAAGGGAAGCATTTGTTCAACTTTACTCTGCGCTGGTGCGGTCTCACCTCAAATACTGTGTGCAATTTTGGGTGCCACAATATAAGAGAAACATAAAACTATTAGAAAACCCCAAAGGAGGGCTACATAGATGGTGAAGGGTCTAGAGCACAAGACTTATGAGAAGTGGCCAACATCACTTGGTTTGTTTAGCCTAAAGAAGAGGAGTTTTTGTCTATGTGAACAATCCAAACAGAAATTAGGATACACACCTGTGTTAGCCAATCATCTCAATAGCTTGTATGACAAACTATAGTATCACTGTCCTTGCTTCTAGGAGCTGAATTGTGTGCTTCTGAGCACTGATTAAAATGGTACAATACAGTCAGTAAGTAGATACTACTTGCTCCCATGTATTTAACACTTACAAATGGGTATGACTAAGAATGGAATTTATAGCTCAAACCCCAAAGTACACTGAACAATATTTGATTGCAAATATGTACAGAAATAAAATTAAGGATACAAAGGTGGTGAAGGGGAAGACATATGAGGAGCGGCTATCATAACTTGGTTTGTTCAGCCTAGAGGAGAGGAGACTGAGGGGCCTACATGGCAGCCTACATCTTCCTCACAATGACAGCTAAGGGGGGAAGATGCTGATCTCTTTTCTCTGGCAACAGGACCTGAAGGAAAAAAGCCTTGTCAGGGGAGGTTCAGGCTGAATATTAGAAAAATATTCTTCATTGAGAGGGCACTGGAACAGGCTTCCCAGGGCAGTGGTCATAGCACTGAGCCTGCTGGAGTTCAAGATGCATTTGGACAACACTTTCAGACATAGGGTCAACAGTATACTGATTTCAAGTGACTAAAAAAAATAAAAATAAATGAATAAAACTTTATTTTTATAAGTAGTCTGGAAGGTGTCTTAAAATTCTGATCAGATGAGAGAAACTTTAATGCTGAATAGTAAAATCTATTCTAGATCTAGAGTCCTAAAATTGTTAAGTTTCCTTTGATAATACTCTGCAAATCCTGGACATCTCAACAGAGGCAAAAAAAAATTGGTTGTGACCTAGGAGGTAGATACAGTTTAGGGAAATTATGTTTGGAAGCCACAAAGCTTTAGTTTTAACATGCCTTTTTTTGAACTTATTTTTCATGGGGTATAGGAACGTGTTCCAGACAGTCCTTCTCCTGCTCCTTCTCTTGAAGAGGGTCGAAGACCTGGCAGCCACCCATCCTCTCATCGAAGCAGCAGTGTGTCCAGCTCTCCTGCACGGACTGAGAGCTCTTCAGACAGAATCCGTAGGTCACATTATTCTCCTTGTCACCACTTTAAATTCGATTAGGGACAGATGTTTTTTCTAACCTAAATACCCACGTCTTAAATAGATCTCATAGGTATCATGTTCAAAAGTTCATCTGCAATAGCTATCTCCCAACACAATATTCCCCAGTTTACAATATCATAATACCTGATGCTACAGTAACAGTTACTGATATAAACTGCCATCATGTTATATTAAACATAAGGATTCAAGCTATGAAATACAGAATTGCAAACAGGAAGCAATTTTCTGGATTAATTTTTAGAACTGAACGTGTAGTGTAAACCTTTTTTTTAAAGAAATTGATTTTTATTTAATTTGTTTACTCTAGTTTGATTTCTAAATCGAATCTGACTTCATAAGCAACATTTGACATCATAGAATTGCTTGGGAAAGAGAAGAATTAGTTTAAATCGATTAAAATATGTGTACTTTATAGACTCTTTAAATGTAAAAACTTGTAATGGTGAGACATATGATACAGAGTATTATCACCTCATATCTTACAAGGGGCAGAGTGAAATTAAACCATGGTGTCTCAGAGTAATACTATTTTTATCAAGGCTCTGTGTAAATGATGTAAATTATGTGACAAAGACGCTGGGTTCCATAATCCAGACTGGAAACTGATAGTTTAAATGCTCATTATTTTATGGATATTAACTTAAATTTATATTGCACTTGTCCTTTTCTTTTATTATTGCTCCATTGCAGATTTTTATGCTTTTAAGGCATATTTCCACAGTGGAATTTGTCAGTAGGTGGAACTGGAGTATTTGGCATATAAACAGAAAGTTATGAAATAACTATGAATTATGTAGTTGCGTAGGTTAGATGCAGATGTGTGATTTTTAGAGTGTTTCCATTCAGGCTCTCTGCAGACTCAGGAAGCTGGCTCTTCACTGACTTTCAGATGAAAGATCTGTCTTTACTATGTGATGAAAAATGATTTACCAAAAGGAAACAAATGAGGCCTGTCCATGACAAGCTGAGAATTCTGTTTTCTTATCACTTGGATGACTGAGAGTACAGATCAGACTGGCATCCCATGTAATATGACCTATCTATTTCTTGAGGTTTTTGTAAAGTGCTAAAAAAAACCCAATGCACAACAAAAGATGGATTTTTATTTTTTTAATTGTCATCTATTTTTGCTTTATTAAATACCTTCTTCATTTTCCCTTAAATAAAAGAAGTAAAAGAGTAAATTAAACAGAAAGTTCCTTATTATTTTTGCTAAGGAATGTCACTTTTTTTTTTTTTTTTTTTTTTTTTTTTAAGAGGTAGCTTTCTACTTTAGCTTTCTCTGCTTACCTACCAGCAGATAACAGTGGGAGCTCTATACTTTTTTTCTTCCAATGAGATGATCATAACAGAGTCCCTTAAATAATCATTTCAGTGGCTTACTTAAAAAACAACCCTTTTCTCTCTTATCTGACCTGTTAATGTAACAACCGATTCTTATGTGCTTTTGAGGTGCCAACAAGATTAAGACAACTACTACAGAAATATGGGCTACATATGAAAAAATGGTCTGTTGAAGATGGTGTAAGCCTCTTGTAAATACAATTTTTAGGGATAAAACATTGGGATATAGGGGTTTCCACGCTGTGTTTGAATCATAAAGCTCTGTTTAAGAACAGTTGGAAAGAGTTTTTCTAGAAGTTTTATTGGCAAACTTGATGTTATACAGTATATTTCTAAAAAACAATAATTTCTTAGCTGGAAGGTTACAATGCTTAATTTAAGGAAGTGAGAGAGTGTATTTTGGAAAAGATAACATATAAAACAAAATAAAAATAACCAAAATAATGTCTCACTTAGAACCTTCTATTCTTTTCCATATTGTTTCATTTTTCATTTCATTTCTCGTTAAATAAGAAAATGTTTACAATTCAATTACAATTGTATTCAATTGGGTCCTAAGTTACTGAACTCTTCTTTTGAAAATGAACTGGTTTTAGGAAGGCATAGCAAAACTCCCTCATTGTGTGGCTACTGATAGCACTAATTAAGTAACTGCATGATTATTAGGATTCATGTATAATTAAAAGGAAGAATATCTAAAATAAGTACAAAATTGTATTGTTAAAATGATGGTTGATTTTGTTTCTGCCTGTTCTTGTGTCTAGCAGCTGTCCATCAGAATGGCCTATCTATGAACCAAATGCTGATGGGTTTGTCACCAAATGTCCTTCCTGGACCTAAGGAGGGTGATCTGGCTGGTCATGATGTGGGACATGAGTCAAAAAGAATACACATTGAGAAAGGTAATATGAATACAAGTACTTTATTGTTTCACTGTAAAATGCATTGTTTCAAAAGCTAAGTAATAATTGTGATTTCCTTTAATACTGTGATTATTGTTTCAAAAATTCAATTATAACAGGATTATAGCTTCCCAGATTCTTCTAGTTCGTGGTGCTTGACTTTAATGAACAATATTTATCTGAGGGAGGAATTTCATAAATATTACAAAGAAAGATGAGTGAAAAATAGTTTTATATTACCATTGTGTCTCTGGCCTTTCTACAACTCTGTTTAGGTATTAAGTTTCTGTCTTCATCCAGTTGACTTTAACAACCTACTTCCCAAAGGGACAGAGCACCGTGAAAATTAGTCCATGTGTGCAAAAAATAAAAAGGCTAATACCAAACCATTAAACTAGGGAATTACATAAAATGAGGCTGGTATACATTACATAATGGGATTTAAATTTAATTGAGTATATGACCAACATGTTTGATCTAGGTGAATAGTCCACGTGCAGTTATACTGATTTTGACACCATTTCATCTCTGTTGGTATTCAAAGTTCCTGTACAAGGTTGTTAGAGGTGTATTTGAAAGGGCAGTAGAATTTTGAAAGGTGTATTTCATGCATTATGTTCACTTAATATATAAAAATTTTAAACATTTTTATAGACAAGGAACATTTTGGTGGAACGGTAGTTAAAAATATGAAATACACTTTGAAAAGATATTTTGGGACTTAGAAAAAAGTATTTATTTGAGCACAGCGAGAGAAAAATCAAAAGGTACACTAGCCAGATATTAAAACAACTTGGGATAAATGTCTACAGTGACAGAGATTTCAAAATAAGACTTTTGTGCCATATCTTACATTTTATCAGCTATGATACTTTCTCTGCCTTGTGTTTGAACAGTGAGATATGAAAAAAATAAAATCTGGACACTTCTATTTTGGACAGGTGTCATTTTTAATAGGATTAACCCCCCAAACTAATGGAAACATTACTTTTTTATAAACCCTTTAGTTTGGTTCATTGCACACACAACCTTCTTAAGCTTATACTGTGCCCTCGCTCAGCCCCTACAAATTGTATCCCTGCTGTGAAATATGATGTGATCAAATAGGTTTGTTTTGAATTTCCATAAATGATTTTATTTCACCTTTGGAAGTTACTCACTTAAGTGTAATCAGACTGGTAAATTCTGCAAATAGAAATACATATGAAGAATTACTACTATTTTTATATATCATTCATTTTTTTAAAGCCTTTTTTTAAATAGTATTCTAGATGTCCAATCTGTTGCCAGTTCACTTTTTTTTTTTTTTTTTTTTTTTTTTTTTTCCCCAAGATCTGTTCTCAGTAAAACTGCTGAGAATTCTTTTTGTCCTTAGGTCAAACCTTCGATATTCTGTCCCTGTCCCCCTCACTCCTCCCTTTGTTCCAGCCTACTGAATTAATGGTAAATATTCATGGGCTATCTAGATTGATAGGGTATACTAAATTAAAAATTGTTTTCTGTCATGACTACATTTATAATGTCTTTCATACCAATTCTGTAACTTTAATATTGCACTAATCTGTATTAAAAGAAGTGATTTAGTTTATAGATATTTGTGGAGATAGTAATTATCTACTTCTGTCACTGCAAATCAGTCAGAATGCAATCACATCAAAAAAGGAAAATAAATATATTTAGGTGGTGGTACTCTTAAAGTTGAAGCCACATCACCCTCATCATCTGATTCAAAAGAAAAAGAAATGGGGGTGGGGGTGGAGAACAGGTGTTCTGAGTAAGTACCACGAGACCTTAAACATCACTGTGTTTTCTTCTAAACATTTGTTGGCACAAATGTATCAGCTGCAGGTATAAAATGGCCTTTAATTGAACCTGTGAGAACTTGAGAAATCCTTCCTAGTAAAAAAAAAGGGTCCTGTGTTTTCTTGTCCCCTCTTCCATCAAAGAAATGAGAAGACCAAAAATCTCTGAAGTATTCTGAACTCAGGGAATATTTATTTGTTTTCAACAGAGAAGTTAAAGTGAGAGAAAAGTTATAAAAGAGACATCTGATCAACATATGAGAATTTATGTTGAGTCAGAGGGGCTAATCATCTTTCTCACCAGATCTAGGAATTGTGTAAGTTTTCAAAGATCATATGTAATTCTATTAAAAAATTCAGCCAGATTTATTGTCATTAGCAAAAATGAGTTTATTTTTTTTTCAACTTCTATTGCAACTAGTTTATCGTTATCCTACCAAGAACCTAGTTAGGTTCTATGGATCTGATTTACTGCCTAATAAACTGGAAAATTTGCAATGGGCTCTGGGTTAGTATTTGCTGCAAAAAAACAGGAAGAGTTTCTGTTCTCAAAGATGACATGTAAACTGTGGGTGCTGGGAACATATTCCATCCGCTGACTCCAGTTATGCAACTTGGCCATGTCGAGCTTCATGCTGGGGCAAAACCCAGCAAGACACATCTAAAGTTTCACCCATTCTTTGGGTTCCATGAGGAAAAAAAAAAAAAGAAATAGACTTGTTGAGAGTTATGTTGTGTTTCAGCCAGGTTACCAGTCTAAACTATGGGGGACAGCTGGAGACACTGCAGAGCACTTCCACCTCACAATTAATATAGAATTCAAGATGTTATTACCTTAAAAATATATATCCAAAATAGTCAATTACCCTAGACTTCCAGTGTTTATTTATTTATTTATTTATTTTTTATATATATATTTTTATTATTAGAACATAACAGATTTTCAGAATTTACTGTAAGCAGGCTGTAGAACTGCAAATGATACTGGGAAGAAGGAGGAAAGTTCAAGTGTGTGATGTTAGTTCAAGTACTTGATGGCCATCATCAAAACCAAGTATCTAATTTTCTAACCTACAATTATAGGTTATTCAGTGATGCATATTTGTTTTTACTAGGTATGATCTTGCACAAAAAAGGACTTACAGGAAGCATAAGCATTGTATCAGAAAAGATCCATTCAATTCATTACTTTAAAATTAAGAGACTGAGTCTTTTCAGGTACAGTAAAAGTTTCGATGACCCTAAGAGTTTGCTCTAGATAAATCCCTCAATTTCTGCTGATATATAGTATTATTTAGTTCTTAGGTAGGTTTTAGTTACTACTACAAAGACTACAAAAGTTAACCACCTACCCCTGACCTCCTTAAGGTTAGAGGTGTGCTTCCTGATTCCTTATAGATAGAAAAGAGAATTAAAGCTGTGACACATTTCCTGGAGAGCACCCTTAATCATTGTGCATTATGTTGAAAAAGGAAGTATAATTTAACATCATAGCTTTACCTTTATGACCCCAGGCTCTGGTCTTAGGGAATCTGCAAAGTGGAATTCATAGCTCAGTCCACTACCCAGAGTCTATATGCTATCTACAGGTAGCTGCACAATACTTTGTATTGACTTAGACAGAATACAGTTCTACTTCTTAACTTCATTAGGTCCCACTTTGTAGTAGCTGGCTTGGATACTGTTAAGGGATGTTGTAGGAAGTGGCAGATTATATCACCCCCTAACAAGTACGTGTCTAGCAGTAAGCTCCAGCTCATGTCAGCCCAAGATTTCGTTCTGGGGGACAAACACCTAAAAGTTACTTGCTTTAACACCAAATTTAGATGCCTAAGTCTTTTATTGAATTTGGCCCTAGGGCATCAGATTAGAATTTTCTGTCTGCATCAATTTATATTTTTTTAGATTGACACCAACAGCAAATGAAGCCTGAATGTCATGCTTACATTTTAAATTGAATAAGTTAGTTGAGGTGTTGTGGGAAGGACACTCTGTTGAAAATGTTCATGGAGTTTTCTATAACAAAATATAAAATATTCACCAAGTTCACAAAAGAAGCTAAATTATTTCTTTCAAAAAAGCTTTTTAACTTTGATATAAATGGAAATGTCTTAGGCAATTTTCAGATAATCAACAATAACTGCTTCTTGACTATTATGATAGCAGCAATTAAGGTATAACTCTATCAAATCCACATATTAAAAAGTCCCAGTATTTCTTTCTATTTTTATGTCCCTCTCTACAGAGATATGAACAATCTTAGTCCTCTGGCTACTATCTTATAAAATAAAATATTCAAATTCCAAAATATCCTTAGTGTGAAATAGAAAATAATTTAAATATTGCATTTTAATTTAAGAATTGTATTTTACTGTTAGCAGTCAAGCATCAACAAAGGAACTAATAATAATGTAATCCTACATATAGATATTCAGTCTGTATTTCCAGAAGTAAACTTATATATATATATAGTAATATGCATCATACCATGATAAATATAGAAACACACATGACAATATTTTTAGAAGTATGAAAAACTCAGGAACTTGTAACATCATCTAATATTCTCTTTTACCTGACCTGTCCTCAAGCAAAATCAGCAAGCACATACTCCAGAACTTTGTGTAAAATATGTTTCTGCTCAGTGTTATGATTTTAGCTAGTTCTCTAAAAAAGTCCCATTTCAAAGGCCGTTGTCAGCAGTTGACCTAAAAGGGAATTTTCATTCACAGCTCTGCTGCCCAGTTACTGCTTGTGTAAACATACTTTATTTGTTTATTTTTATTTTTGTATACATTCACACACAGAGAGATATTTATAAAATGTATATATATATATATATTTCCAAAACAGTTTTTATACATTATGTATTTTTCTGAATATTGCATTTTTAATGGAAATAGAAGGGTTTTAACAGACCTTGATGGGTATCTATCTACAAATATATTTTTAATTGACATGTTTCAGTTCTTCAGTCTCTACTTCTTAACATATTGAGTTTAGGCTGTATATCATCTAGCACATTGTGAAATCAATCTTGATTTGAGCTTTCAATATTTCTCAGACCCTAAACACAGTACATATAGTCAAATTTGTAACATGAGAGATAATACAGAGATACATAAAATAAAAGGTTAGAGTAAGCCAGTATCACTGAAATAACCTTTAGACATTGGTTGTTAGTATGTCTCTACCTTC